CTATGGTTCTTTCCATAGTTTCTAATCATAATTAAATTATTAGGTAGCAATATATCCTCAAAATCATATAAAGAAATACTTAGAAACAAACTCACTTGTAAATTTAATTGCCGGACGCGAACTCTAGTGATTGGATCTTGCATAGTAATTTGAGTATTATGTGTGTGCAAAGAAGAGCGATATGTTCTCATCAAAATTGCTAGCTTAAATATATGTAAAGACTAGAAAAAATATCCGTGCGTTGCAATGGGTGAAGTCTATTTTAATCTTACTATTGTTATATGGTTTAGTTATGATGAAATTCACTATGGGAGTTCGATTAGATATATATATTTTTAGAAAATCATGGGCTACAGTTAGGAGTCCGATCGTCTCAAGTTAGCATGCGAGTTTTTTTAAACAGATTTCTTATATGATTCATTCTGTATTACCAAAACTGAACGATCTTAAAAGCCGACTCAAATACAGATATATATTTCCAAAAGCAAACGAACTTAAAAACAGACTCATACACGGATAACGTACTAAAATACCGGCAAAACATCTTCAATTTTATAATAGTAGAGTAGTGGATTCAGTGTTTACTTAGTACTGTACCAATTAAACTAGTACACTTAGCATAGAGTTGACCATGAACAGAATCAATCTATATATCTTAGCGTATTAGTGTATGTTGCAGTGTAGCTAACAAACAGGCGGCATGGACGTGGTGCCATTCGCTCTGATCAGCTAGCGCATGTTTGCGTCGGCGATGACGAGAGGAACGATTCGATGCAGCAGCAAATGATTCTGGGTTTAGTCAAATAATTAATTAAATTCTGTTTCTGATGTTGCTGTATGGCCATGTGGATGCGTACATGGTCGGCATTACTATGATGTTATACAGATATAATTTTGACTTGTTTATTCCAGCTTCAACTCTTCGTTGTAAACTAATTAACCTAGAGATATAACTCATCGATCCCTTTCGTTTTGACAATAGAACACATTCATATATTGTCACTAATTTACCATCCTCATTGTGTGTGTGTGTGTCTATATATATATATATATATATATATATATATATATATATATATATATATATATAACTGATCCAATAGATCAATTCATATTATATTTACTATCCATCCTCCCAATCAATATATATCCTCATAATCTCCCTCCCTTCTAGTAGGAGTTGTGCGGTGTGCAAGTTCAAGTGTAAGTTGTAGAGTCCACTATTATTCCGCATTTGAGCTAGCTAGTCAAACCCCTGGATCAGAGAACGATGGAGATGTATTTCCTTCAGCAACTGAAGAACACATTTACACTGGAACAAATATATAGCATGCAGGTAACAAAGATACTACCTTCATCTTAAAATGTACTAAAAATGCTTACATTTTGTGACGGAGGTAGTATATATATAGGACACATATATGAGGCAAATATACGATTTGACTCAAAAACTTCTAATTTTTTTCAACTTATGAGTATATATATACCTAGTTGTAAAAATTTGATTCATATCTATACCTAATAACAAAACAACTTAAGTTCAACTTTATTTCATAATCATTATTACGTGCCTAACTAGCTAATTATTATGTTTGATGGTACATATCTAAAATCAATATCTAAAATATTCAATTCAGTTTAAACTAGGTAAACAAGATAATGTTCATACCTAAAAATTTATAAAATTTGTCATACTCGTTTAAATTTAGGATCGGATATATGCGCTTATTTTAAACATATATTAGAGCCGGGCACCATCTCATGTAACGGTTAATTTATCGTTAAATATATTTGTTTCGATACATAATTAAAAACCATGCATGTATCGTTATCCGTCTTACCTTTTGGTGAACCCAAAAGGCCTAGTTTCCACTTACTGATCTGCACGATCATCTGGATATATATGCAGGCAAGCGCACTGCGCACATCAGTCAGCAGATAGCATATATACGTGATAGGAGCGGTGCATGAGTAGTGTGTTCAGTGGAGTGGTAGTGATCTAGTCAAAATTAAGAACACAATGCTGATCGATGACTGCTCGAACTAGCAACTAGCTTAGGAACAAAACAAGTAAAGTGGATGCTCTTTTGGGTTTTTTCTCGTCTTCCGGAAATTGTTGGATTTGTTGCGTGCCTAACTTTAGTCATTTTCCCGTTTCCGCTCTCTCAACTTTGTGTGTGTGTCTGCTCCAACTAGTGGGAGTTGTTCTTTTCCATCTTTTCATGGCTATTTCTTAGAGCTTTGTAGTTCTAAAGGATTTTGTTTCATGCATATCTTTGGATGAAAAGACATGCTCGAAGGGAATTTATATTGAAAGCTTTCCAACAATGAAAGGATAGATGGTTCGGGAATATTCACCACAAGATAACCACAACATACCTTTTACACCAGTTCGTCTGGCTCTACCACATAATTCGGCAAACCCATGCAGCTACTGGATTCACAAAAGATATATCGTCTAGAAATTCACATTAATTAAATAGAGAATACATGACCAAGTCAACATATATACAATCTTTAATTCCTAGGTGCAGCCTAAACTACCTTCAACTAGATGATCTGTAAGTGTTGCGCTATCCTAAATGCAAGTTCTCCATTTGGCTTGTAAAACAAGACTATACCAAGTTTGGACGGTGGATATGCTTAAAAGAAGAGGATGCCAAACCCGTAAATGTGCCCACTCTCAGTCGGATAGCACCGGGGACAACAATAAACCTACTAGCGAAATACAAATATTTACAGAGGATATGGATGACGATATGTCAATAGATGCAGTTTCACCTAACAACAATAGGAAACCTGTGACACCGTATAGAGGAGTGGTGGCAACAAATTCTCTCTATGCCACGGACGCCGAAGATGTCACTCAAATCCCTTCTCATTCTCATTGTATAGGAACTTTTGCGTGAGCACAACACACAGATTTTTCGACACATGGCGTCAACCACTGCCACCATAATAGCTAAAACTAAAGAAGAGGCGGCAAGGAAAGTGAGAGCAGCAAAGCTTCGAGAGATACCCACACCGGGAGATCTAACAAAGATCTTTTTCGCGGGCACGAGATCTTCCCCCATGCCATTTAAATACTTTTAACGTTAAAAAAAATAATCCTCTCTATTAATGTAGAACGGCAAAGCTTTTGCCGGTGTTAAAAACATAATATTGGCATGACATCAACCTTGGAGAGATGCCATGCGAGATTTGGAGTGCTGCTTAGAGAGAGGAGATATGAGTTGTCCATGTACTTATATTATCGATAGAATTAACTATTCCTATTATGTAACGGTACGAGTTCTCTACGAAATCAAATAATATAATTAATTGTATAATTAACAAATTAATGAAATATTATACAAGTTTGTCTATAAATTATCTAAATAATGTGACATGGAAAACTTATACAGTCAACTGTTATTTAAATAACTAGTCTTATATATACGCATATATTATAATTTGTCTCTCGCACTACTATGCAAATTTTTTTCACATACAGGTGTATGGCTTGCCTCTAACAAAATACCTATCAAAACCATTTTTCATAAGCAAGTGCTTAAGACACATGCAAGTAGAAGATATGTTTTTGGCAGAAAAGAAATGATTCTCATAGATGTCGATTGGTGATATGGGCCCGGGGGAATCAGGGCCATAGGGAGGAGGCTGCCCCACATAGCCACATGGCCCTCCCCCCGAGGGGGGTCGGGCAAGAGGCGGGGTAGCGGCCGCCCTCTATGTGCCCGGGGGCCGGGCTACCCTGACCCCCTCAACACGGTGCCGCGTTAGACGGGCGCTCCCAGTGCCCACCTAACCGCATTTAAGACGGTTTGAGCAAGCGCACCATGCTGCATTAAATGCGGCACGTGGTGCACTTGACTGATCTGTGACCAGTCGAATGACCGATGTAGCCGGGGTAGTGCGCTTGCGCACTGGCTCCATGTCAGGCGGCGTGCCGTCTGACACCCCCTGTCACGTTGTGATGATGAGAGGCTAACTGCCGGAGACGGTTTGCCTAACCCAGTCAGGGTAGGGTTTCCATTTCCCAGCGTAACTGAGGACCCAAAAGTCTTCATTCATTAAATGCCGAATGACGGGATGGCCCGCACACCCTAACTACATAGGACATTTACTTGTCTTATGCTCCCTCCTTCTCAAAATAAATATAACTTGTATGTGATATGACATATCTTTAGTACTACAAATTTGAATGTCTCTATCTAGATCGTAGTTGTAGGATGTATTACATTCACTGTTAGTTTTGTTATATTCTAGGACGGGGAGTACAATACAAGAATTTTTAAAGGGTGCTATCCGTATTGTGGAGCCCACTAGTAGGATCTTATTATGGATTAATTTAATATTGACCAAAAATGCCATATCAATCACAATCCACTGTTGTAGGTGCTATATATATACTCCATGTGTAGATATGTACTCCTGTTCGGCTCATTGCATATGGTTGGCTACCTACCGATCGACAACCGAAAGACTTGCTACAGTATAGCTAGCAAAAGCTATGTAGGAGGTTAGGAACATGCATCTAGCAAGCTAGCTAGCTATAGCCCTCGCAGCAGTTGAATTGTATGCGCAGATGCAATGGCCAATGTTCCGAATCCATCCAGATGCTTCATCCGTTTTTAGACAAGATTTGACAGACACATGATACGTGCGTTTCCAAATTAAAGAAGTGCGCATGGCATATATTCTGAGATATCTCAAAGGAGTGCTTCAGATATGTAAAGCTCAACACATTCTGAACACCATGCATCCATTTTCTTTTTTATATATGCATGATGATATTTTACTACTACCTCTGTCCCATAAAAATTACATTTCTAGCTAATTTAGGATAAAATAGTAGGATTAGAAAATGACCACAATAACCTTATTTAATGAACCCACTGCATGCATACATTCCATATATACAAATGATTAAAATGAAGTTTGAGAGAATTAACCCATATAATTAGTATACTTAATAAAATTACAAGCATTAGCAGTCCAAATTATGTGGGATGGAAGGAAACTTATATAGATGAATCAATTGGTTGGACCCCACATGGCTAGAAATACAATTTTTGTGGGATAAAGCCTTAGAGCTAGAAAAGCAATTTTTATGGGACGGAGGGAGCAGTAGTTTAGTTCTCCATCCATCCATTGGTAAATATACGTAAACATCAAACTAAATTTCTTGCTTGAATATATATGGTAGAAGATTACATGCACTTAATTACTAATTAGCATCGCGTCCCTGAATTACATATAATGCATATATACTTCAGATAGTGAGCACGCATGCGTGCAATATATATGTGCTTATTATAATTAAGGCCTATAACTATATATGTTGCGTAAATTAAGTAGGCCATGTACACACACTCATGCATGTGTTATTCCGATTCAGATCATACATGGGATAATTAATGCTGACTGCTAGCTAGCTAGCTTGCTAGTTCGATCCATGGATTAGCATGCCGTCGCTGTTGGATCGATCGGTGTAGCTTAATTAGTTAATTAATTACTAATTATTTATTATTCGTTGTTTTGGGTGATTGACTGGCCCTTGAGAGCCTCAAGCTGTGCCTTGCCCTTGGGGCCATTCTTCCTGACGTACACCCTGTACTCGTCGAAGGTCATCGGACGGTAGTAGAGCGACGGCCGCTCCGGCGTCACCAGCTCCGGCGCCGGCGCCACCGGGACGTCGCCTCTCGGGTTGTAGAAGAGTGCGAGCGAGATGCGCTCCTCCTCGGCGTTCACGATCACGCGGTGCTCCACGCTCTTGTACATCGAGTTGCTCAAGATCTGTACGTCGTCCGTCCATGAATTCCATCCATGCACAGTACAAGAAGATATTAGTTCCTGAGAAATTAAAATAGAAGAACAGCTTGAAACATTATTGATGCAACTAGCTAGCTAGCTAGAGTACTATAGCAACGCAAGCTGTATATATGTGTGTATTTTGTACGTAGCTAGCTAGCTAGCCAGATACATACGACCATATTCATGCTTATGCTCATATATCAATGCACATGCATCATGGAATATTGATATATACTCGTATATGGATTCGTTGGCCATGCATTGAGTGCAGTTGGGTACTTGGGCGGTTCGTGGTATGATTCGCCGTAACATGCACATGTCTGTCCGAGGTAGAGAGTAGTAAGCTTCAAACCGACGCACAGAAAACTCGTATGCATTTATGGAGCTAGCGATCGATCACAATCCGCGCATTTTCTGCATGGTTGGGGCTCATCACCGTCCATGCATGTGTGCTCTCATGCCGCGTAACCTGCGCGAAAGATCGCCGCATAGATCGATCGAGCTAGCCGGCCGCCACTAGCTAGTCAACTCTAATTTATTCCTGATCATCATTTGACTCGAACTTAACTAATTAATCATGAGTAATTCTTAATCCCAGGTCATGGAAAAGCCACGATAGTGATTATTGCTCTTTGATTAATTAATTATATAAGTCCTACATATATGTGTACCTCAATCTGGTCGCCGACGTTGACGATGAAGGCGTCGGGGAGGGGCTGCACGGTGACCCAGTGGCCGTCACGGCGGCGTACCTGGAGGCCGCGAACGTGGTCGTCGGCGAGGAGGACGGTGAGGATGCCGGGATCGGAGTGGGCGGAGAGGCCCAGCGTGAGGTCCGGCTGCGGGCACCGCGGGTAGTAGTTGGCGCGCAGGCCCGCGCCGCAGTCCGCCCCACCGAACGCCTCCTGGAACCGCGTCTCGTCCAGCCCCAGGCTCGCTGACAGCAACCTCATCAGCCGCTCGCACAGCTTGATCACCTCTCTCCCGTACTCCTCGGACACCTCCCTGCACGCAGTAATAATTAGTTGATTAATAAGCTGCTTAGGTTAATTTCAGTTGGCATACTTATAATGCGCTAAACCTAATATGGCACGTACTACGTACTCAGTAGACACGACTACCAATATAATATAATCTTTTAGTTTGTCCATAAATATAAAAGTTTTATCATCCTAAGACATATATAGCTACTTAGTTTATTTTTCCCCTATGAACTTTTGCACTAGTTTATTTATTCATATCACATTTTATACTATAGTTTGTTCTTTCGTTACTCGTTTATGTGTTTTTTCTTTAAAAAAATATTATCCATTATATTTATGAACGGAGGTAGTAAGTTGAGAAGATAATAAAAAAATATGAGGCAACATCTACATAATGGTTGTGCGACGGTTCTATATTGTGGTTGTACAACCATAGCAGCTGCAGCTGCCATCAATATAGATCTTCTTTATATTTTTACTGTATCAGTGGGCTGCAAATTAGCGATATTGAACATATCCATAAACTACAAGGAAGAAAGAAAAGGTGGTAGTGGATATGTTGAGAAGAAATGTATAAAATAATAATTGTGATTGTGAACGTTTAGCTGATAATATATGTTGTGGAGAAAATAAAAGAAAGTCGTCACCCTATTAATTGAACTATCTCTAAACCACACAAAATGGAAAGTGACTATAGTACTAGAAATTTTACAGTGCCCGCCCTAGTAAGCTGGGAAATTTTGTTTTAGCGGTGAAGTGAGACTGGGCCGGTCAAGAGTGAGGACTAGGACATTTTACATATGTACAGTGGATGCATTCTTGTGTCTTGCATGCTTTGGACTAGTATGCATCACACTCTTGCTAGCTGGATGGAACTTTTGCATGAAAGCACCCTTCACCTACTTTTCGTTGCATGCACGTGTTGGATTTCATGAACTGAGAAATTAAGGTGAGTCAGATGAACGTACCCCTGTCCCTTTTCTACAACAATTTTCATGCTGCTAATAAGTTTTAGATCGGCCTACTCTACCTATATGTATGTATTACGTCTACCCATGCCAAACACAGTCAAGACACACCTATATAAATAGCAAGTACTGCATCTTCTACTACAGTGCAAGTAGAGAAAAAGGTACAACAATCATAGAACGAAAAGGAAATCAACGGATGCTCCAGGCAGTTAAGTTACTCTGTTCATGACAATCAGTACACTGTTCTCAGGTAAAAGCTGACCGAATGGATGTTGATTTATGTATGCAGTACGATAGTAAATTAAATATGTACTGTACCGTTAGTTTTTTAGCGTGTGAACTGTTCAATTTTGTCATATTTTTAATTAATGAATGCCATGCTTCTAATTAATTTTGGCGTGTGGAGTAGTACTTATTATTAGTACATCACTAATCAAAGATGCCATTATTAATGTTCTAATAGATAAATAAATGAATAATATCTAAACCCTAATGAAACTAAAGGTATGTTTGGTTTGTCGAAAAAAAAGTGACGGAATTTTGGCCAAACAAGCTCCTATATATATATATATATATATCATCACGACCACACCGGTATAAAAAGTTGATAGGGTTGATCTGGTAAGATTTATTAGCAAAAAATAAATGTGCCCTAAATTTTGTTAGAATCAGTGTATAATGAACGTATACACAGAACATATATATATGGAGCAAAATGAACGTTCTCGCCTTACCAAACAATTTAAATTACGGCAGGCCGTACACTAATTTAAATAATTCTGAGATGCACATTATGGAAATTTATAAATTCAGTGTAACAGTCAAATATATATGCACGATTTGATCAGTACTCCCACCCTTTTGAAAAAGAAATTCGACGTACCAAGAACGCACAAGAACCTCTGCAGGTAAAACATGCATGCACATGGGCAAAGCTAAATGAGAAATATCTCTCGAAGGAAAAAAGGCGAATATGCAGGTACAGTACTTGCAAAGAGATCGAGGTGATCTAAGCTAGTGCTTACTTGCAGATGCCGGGATTGGCCGGCCAGTATTTGGCCGGGCTCTTGGCGGCGTCCGGCGAGAGGACGAGGAAGTAGTAGTCTCCCCAGTCGAGGATGGCGCCCTTCTCGACGCCAAGCCGGCTGCCGTACCCCTCGTACGTCCGCGGCGAGTTGGCGTACTTCTGCTTCTCCTGGAGCGGCAGGCGGAAGAAGCCGTGCCACGCCTCCCGCGCCGCGCGCATCAGCTCCGGCCGCACCCCGTGGTTTACCACCTGGAAGAAGCCCCAGCCCCGGCACGCCGCCGCCACGGCCTCCGCGAGCTGGCCGCCCTCGTCGTCGCCGCCGTTGCCGAGGTCGACCACCGGAATGCTGGCGCCGGAGGACGCGTCGTCCGCCTCGGGGGCGGGGCGGTCGCACGGTGGTTTGACGTAGCAGCGCGGGATGGCCTCCAGGCCGCTATCGGCGAGCGCCTGCACGCGGACCACGGGCTCCGGCCACTCCTGCATGCAGTCCGCCATTGCAAGCAAAAGCTAGCTGGCCTATGCAACAGTAAAGAGAACACAAGATAAGCAAACGTGTGCTTACTACGAAGAAGGCGGCCGGCCCTGCCGGCCGCCGCGCGTACACATGCACATGCATGCACGACGCGCGCGCTCCGGTGCGCTCCGCGCCTCAAAAACACGGGAACGTGAAATCGATCGGGAACGCGGAGATCTAGCACGAGATGGCCGGGCGGGATTAATGGCAGAGTACGACGACTCGTCCAAGCATGGACGCGCGCGCACATCGGCACACGCCGTCACGCCCCACGCTAGTGTACGTACTATACCAGTGTTCACCCATCAATTAGGCGCTATTGAACCACGCGGGCGCACGTACGAGAACACGAGCAGCACGCACGCACAAGACAAGAGCTATAGCTAGAACATACACGTACTACGTTTGCAGCGCGCACAGAGTATAAATGGAGGAAATGAATTAAACATAAACATACGTGCTGGGAGAGATAACCCGGGGAGTGTACTGTGTACTGCTCACTGAGCTAGCTCTCTGGCTGGGTTCGGAGTATGCCTCAGCTCTTCCTCCTTGCCTTGTTGGAGTTGGAGACTTTGTTGCAGAGATGGGGGTATATATAGAGCCAGATAAGGTCGGGGAGACCAAGAGAGAGAGGAGATATACAAAAAGGGTCAAGTGAATTAATTCTATTTGGAAGGTCGTTGATGTTGTTGCTTAGCTTAATTTTGTCTCTTCCAGAGGACAATAACAATTCGTCATTCAGATGGTCGATCGATCTGGGGTTTGGCCGTGGGCAGGATACCATGCTGGGCCATACAAAAGCTAGTAGTACGTGTAGCTACTGAATTAAAACAAAACGTGTTTTTTGGTGAGATAAATCGATCGGGATCTTTTGTGTGTGTGCTTTGACGCTGAACAGTGGGGAGACAGCGAAGCTGGACTGGGCTGTGAGACGTACTGGCACTACCACGAAGAAGAGCCGTCTCTCTCCGGCGCTCGAGAATTCCACGAATCGATGGATCGGATGTGGCGAGCACATACGGATACTACAACATGAGTGAATTGGGGTTAGTGGGAAGGTCCACCGTCCACGGGAGCTGTGTAGTGGTCAGATGTTGTTTTACAGGTCGGGGCATCATGAAGCGATTGATTTGATATACGTGCTCCTATCATTTTTCAGCTACTCCCTCCATCCCATTTTAAATGCAACCATAAGTTTCTATACCCAACTTTAATTGTTCGTCTTATTTAAATTTTTTTAATTAATATTTTTGTTATTATGAGATGATAAAACATGAATAGTACTTTATACGTGACTTATGTTTTTAAATTTTTTTAAAAGTTTCAAATAAGACGGATGATCAAAGTTAGGCACGGAAACTCAGTAGCTTACTATAGTTCCTTAAAAAAAAAATTCCCAGCTCAAATCATAGGCCGTGTTTAGTTTTTAGCCAAAAATTTTTTAAGTATACATGCACACGTTTAAAGTATTAAACGTAGACTAATAACAAAACAAATTACAGATTCCATCTGTAAACTGCGAGATAAATTTATTAAGCCTAATTAATCCGTTATTAAGAAATTTTTACTATAGCATCACATTGTTAAATCATAGCGTAATTAGCTCAAAAGATTTGTCTCACAATTTACATGCAAACTGTGCAATTGGTTTTTTTCGTCCACATTTAATGCTCTATGCATGTGTCTAAATATTTGATGTGATATTTTTAGCCAATTTTTTTTTATCTAAACACACCCATAGTGTCGTGCGAGGCAAACATTTCTGCCGCCATCTTTTTATTAGTTTAAGAAGTGAAGTCAAACGGTGTAGCAATTAATTAGTTTCCTGATGAATATGTGCACGATGCACAGGACTGCGTTGAATATATGTACGCGTTTTTGGTTTTAAAGAGTCGTGTCGCACAATTATTCAGCACAAACAACATTTTCAAAGTCTATATATATGGATAAAACCATGTAGTAATCTATGCTTGTGGCCGGTGGCCGGCGGCCGGCAGGAATTGGAAAATATTTTGTGTTTCTAAATAAAGAGAGAATGGTAACACAAAAAATGCATGGAGTAAAATTAACAACTTCGATAAAACTACACATTAAGTGACAATATCATAAAACTACTAATATATCACAATCTACATATTTAAGCGTAAATATTCCATTGAAAAATAAACCCTAAATAGTGTACTCCATCTATCCCAAAATATACGTATTTCTAGAGTTCAAATTATCCTAAAATATACATATCTCATTGTTGACGGACTATACCCGCCTATGTTATTTGTAGAGTATAGGAATAGTTGATATAATGGTATACGCGAGATTGAGGTAAAGAGATGAGAGACGGCGATTTTTATGCAGATTCGGACCCTTTAACCCTTTAACTAACAGGTAATAGCCTTACTCCTGTTGACCGAATCCGATGTTGCCTTTATATATCAATATCGCATGAGCACAATATTTGGGACAACCTAATATAGTCTTTGTCGGTTTAGCGGCATGGAGCTCTCACATGTAATCGACGGCTAGCGTAGTCAGCTTCCACGAATATGAACTCGGCGATATTTGGAGGCAGCGCTAGGTTCCTCTTGTCGGTATCTGTGGCTCCATAGTGGGTTTGTCTAGGCTTTCCCTCGCATATGTTGTTGGCCTGTCTTGATCTGTCCTAGCCTATATATCCGCTCTCCTCCTAAGGAGTCTTGTATTTATACTCTCAGATGTCCCTTGTCCAAGTAGATCTAGGGAACCAAATATGGATACGATCCAAATAGTCCTTGTCTTGCTCAAGTAGGAGTTTGCTTCTCTTTCCTTATCTGAAACACTTTCCGTATATGTGGCTTGATTCCGTATAAGACTTCATATACGGTAGGTTCTGTCGAGCCTAATACAGGTATGTTATGTAGGTCTTATCCATGGCACTGACACTCTAAACCTCCCCCCATCTCAACCAATCAAACCATCTCATGTTTAATTTCTCGACTAATCACAATCTTCTACTATTTAATTTAATTATTTTCTTTATTTTTAAAATACTTTTAAAAAATACTTACATTTGAGGACGGAGGGAGTGGACATCAAATTAACCGTGGAGACTTCCACAAAGCCATTATAAGTATTTAAGAGTAGTTTCCTAGTGCTTCTTTTCTAATGGAACATTTCAGGCAAATTCTAAATTTTGACATTGATAAGCGACCAGTTCTTAAAACTGCCATCAATGAACACAAGTTCAATAAAATACCATTGTACAAGCATTCTTTTCTTTTTGCAACTACCATCCATAGATCTTTGTTAGGTCGTCTAAGAGGATCGTTTTACCCCTAGAATTTGGTAAATTCCATAATAATAAATTCCCAAATTACCCTTAAGAATATCATAAATAATTGAATAGCAAAAATATGTGCATATTTTCATATGGAGATTCTACATAATTATCTTAATGGAGGCCTTTAAAAGGGCAAAAAGATCTTTTGGGGAGACATAACGTAGATCTATGGATGAAAACCTAAAGGTAGTGCCAAAAGGGGATAACAACACTTGTATGGTAATATTTTGTAGAACTTGCATTCGTCTAAGACAATTTGTAGAATCATTTATTTGTTGGTAGCAATGTGTAGAATTTCTTAACATTTAATCATGTAGTTCCATAAAATTGGTACTATATTTGTGGTCATACACTCACTTCAAGTATATCTAGAGTTTTCTGATATATTTGAAGCAAGATGTGTAGTATTATGATAATATAATTTATCTTTGTTGTTTTCATGATAATTTTATAAAAAAATATCTTAAGTTTTGTAACATATACTAAAAAAATAAGGGGAATAAATTTTAAGAAAAGTTGCATTATGCTCACTCTCGATGTATCCAAATCACCATATTTACCTGTGAAAAATATATACTCAACTGTGAAGCTCATGTGTGGCATGCATCTGGCAATAGGGGGACCCAATTTGAAAAAAAAATATCAACTAATTTACTATAGTTATGAGTAAATTTCGGAAAGTTTGTACTGTTTACCCTTTTATTAGATATTATCCATGTGATTTGGGAAGATAAGGACTTGGATATGAAAGATCAGTAGTAATGCAAGTGTTGGCTGGTTTGTGGCAAGATTTGACCCTAAATAGTTAGGACTAAGGAGGTGTGCGAATTGATGGATGATAAAGGATTGAGGGGTAAGTCACACACTGTATCAACAGAATGAGGGAGCTCGACATGTTATCTCAGTCGTGGAGTTCAGAACTGTGTGTTCGGAACCCTGGTTCCCAACACTAAGTGCCCGCACAGAAAACGGAGTAGCGATTAGAGGGTGATTAATTAAGTATTTGCTTTTTTTCAAAAATAGATTAATTTAATTTTTTTAAAGCAACTTTCGTATAGAAACTTTTTGTAAAAAATGGACCGTTTAGCAGTTTAAAAAGCGTGCGCGCGGAAAACGAGGAAGATGGGTTGGGAAGAGGGGCTACCAAACGCATGTGGATTGTACACATGTGTGTGTGTGTTTTCAATTAGGGAATGCATGCACGCCTGATATTTTGAAAGTAGTTCATCTTGATTCGCTTTTAGCATAAGGTATTATTCGTCCTTTTGTTGTAGAAAGATCAAAATATTGCAACAAGACAAGGTCATTGTAGAACAATTGTTGTGGATGGGGCGCGCGGACCATTGTCTAGGTCACCATCATTGTTTAGATTGTATTTGTGCTAGTATGGTGGAAATTTACATAGACTCAATGCTCCTTTAGTCTCGGACCATGCTTGGGTCTGCCCATGGCTATGAATGCAGAGTACTCCTTAAACTATCTCATTAATTTAGGGGCATTTCTTCATTTCTTTTGAACTAACGGATTATGGATTATTGTGGGAACATTTTTCATATTCCTAAATTATACTCCATCCTTTCCATATCGCATATCGTAAGGTGTTTTAGTTTTATCAGAAGTTAAACTTTTTAAAAGATAATTAACATATAATATCAAATAAATACACTATCAAGACATCTTTAATAGTATATTTAAAACTAATCAGATAATGTATATGTTGCTTTTTTATATAAATATGGTCAAAGATAAAAAAATAATTCTGAAAAAAAAAACAAAACACTTTACACTATAAAATGGTGGGAGTACAATGTATGCGAAGACTTTCTTCACCGATATTTCTTAGAAAAAAATGTTAAAATTAACTTGTCCAAGTTTTAATATTTAATTCATTTGTTCGTGTCCTCGATATTTTTCATCAATTCACAGTTTCATCTATAATCTACTAGAACACTTTAAAATCGGGCTAGTCGTCGCACATGCCCTATATTGGGACATCACGTACATGGTTTCCTAATAAGGGTGGTTTTATGAAATAAGTATTTTTCTAGTTTTAATTAGGATTTTAAAACTTGCTAGAAATAATATACGTCCTCGATAGAGATATTACTCTCTTGGTGATAAATAAATGTTCTGACTTTTCTCCCTTCAAACTTTTAAAACTCTAATCACTAAAAATTTAAAAATTAAAACAATTAATTTGAAAACATAAACACGGCATACATAGATATGTCTTGACAAATAATGTGATTTTATTACACCATATACTACTGTTTATCAGAT